GGTTCAGGGAGGAAAAAGGTAGTGAACAGTCAAAGCCCTGGTACTTCTTCCTGTTTCACAGCACTCTGAAAGGAAGACTGTGGCTTTAAGAAGAACATAAATCAAGTTTTCAGAAAACTTTTGAAATTTACTGGGGGGACTCCTGAGAAAGGAGCTGGAATTTACATGTCACAGTGGGCAACTTATTTGGTCTACTGAAAAAGCTCCTTCCAATGTAAATGATAGTAAAATAAGGTTTGAATTTTGCAAGATTATATTTGCATCTGATGACTCAACAAATAGGCATGTAGAAGCAAATTTTGGAGGACAACTCTTTGAAGAAAAGGTTTTAGATAAAGTGAGACATGTGGCAATTGTCTAAGAGCTATACAATTTTAACTAGCATGCTACCTGTGTCTTATAAGGAAAACGTTTAGACGTAGACCTGAAACTATGGGTTATGCTTTTCTGCTTAAATGACATTGAAGCAGTCTTTAATAAATGGTTATTTCTAGATACTATTACACCTCCATAAAGATTATGATAAAAGGAGAAGGTATTTGTTCAAAAGGATACCATGGAAAGGCAACTTGTATTTACACGTGGTGGGCCTGTTTCCAAATGGGAACATAGCAGGTATTTGTTCATTTAAAATATATATTAGCTGCCTTTCTGCCTTCTGAAACTCAAGGCAGTTTAAAATGTAAACAATAAAAACATAGAAATACATAAAATATATTAAAAACACAAAATCAAAACCGCAAGTTACAATGAACAGAAAAAAACTAAACTAATTGAACGCTGTCCTGAATAAAACCTTCTTTAGGTAAAGGTAAAGGTTCCCTTGCTCGAAAGCCAGTCGAATCTGACTCTAGGGTTGCGGTGCTCATCTCCGTTTCAAAGCTAAAGAGCCAGCGCTGTCTGAAGACATTTCCGTGGTCATGTGGCCGGCATGACTAAACACCAAGGTGCACGGAATGCTGTTACCTTCCCACTGAAGTGGTACCTATTTATCTACTTGCAATTTCTTGCTTTCGAACTGGAGCTGGAACTAGAGATGGGAGATCACTCCGTCATGTGGCACACTCGGGTCTCGAACTGTTGAACTAGCGACCTTCCACAGCCTGCAGTTCAGCGTCTTAACCACTTGAGCCACTGCAGCAGTTCCTTCTTTAGTTGCCTCAAAGACCGAAAGAGAGGATGCCAGGCACACCTCCCTGGGGAAATTATTCCATAATTGTGAGGCTGCCGCCAAAAAGGCCCTCTCTTGCGTACCCTCCAGACAAGCTTCTTTGGTTGATCGGATGGTCAGGAGAGACTCTCCTTCTGATCTTAATTCCTGGGCAGGAACGTATGAGAGAAGACTGTCCTTCAGAAACCCCACCCCAAGCCATGTAAGGCTTTAAAGGACAAAAGCAACACCTTGAATTGGTAGAGATGGTGTGAGTTTGGCAACAATACTTTCCTGTTTTTTATTGAGGAGAGGAATGCAAGGTGATTTTTTTTAAAAAACCGAGGAGCAGGATTTTATCCATCTGGCACAGCTATTAACTCATCTCTGAAGAAGACTCAAAATTTCCTGGGATATATTTAAAAGGTTAATCGGAATCTGGAACACTGAAGTTATAGAGAAAATAACTCGGTTATATAGAAAACTGAGAAAGGTCAGAATTTCTACCAATACATTTAAGGTAAAACAAGTTGTTCACATTTGCTCTGGAAGGAATATAAATCAAGAATCTGAATTACAGACTGCTACTTGTGATGCTAGCTTTTAAATTATTGTAATAAGTGTAAAAATGTTACAGTGAGATATGCTAAGGGTGAGAAGTCTTATTCTGCTACATCTGCATATAATTTAAACATAATAAAATATTAATAAAAATACTGCTGGATGTCACATGACATAGCATGATAGCATCCCATTCTCTCATCAGTGCTATAATGCTAAACCAGAAGTGCATCTTTAAGAAGTGATGTTGATGTTGCATGGACCTGACTTCACACACAGGGTCAAAGCAGGCTACATTGCCCTCTGCAGTCTACCAGTATGGTAGAAGAGCAGGGCACCAACATCTATGGGCAACAGGCCTCAGTTGTGCATTGGGTACAATGACAACTCTCAAACCACCATGCAGATGTGCCCTCAGGCTAAGGATTCAGGCAACAAGCTAGATTTCATTAACTTATGTTCCCATTTGTGTCTCAGAATGGAGTATGTGGGCTTTGTCTATAAATCATCCTAGCAGCCGAAAAAATGCAATCTATACAAGGAAAAAGAAACTCATTTTCTTGTATCCAGTTCTTCACAGAGATAAGTAATATTGTGAGAAGGCTCTAAATGTTGCTGCTAAATATTGTGTTTTCTCTTCCACTCGTTCATTTTCAAGCGTTTCGGTTCAGTTCTCTCCCCCCACCCCCATTACTACTCTTTGGGTGAAATGCCTTATTGCTCAGTCTCAGGTTATTTATATCCAGGAGCATTTCATTCTGCAAGTGAGAACAATTTTATTTCTTTCAGTTACCCCAAGGCATGAGGAAAAATAAAAAGGAGCCAAGGAAATCCCTCCTCCAGCAACAAGAAAAGAAAAAAAACAAGGAAGCAAGACTAGACTGTGAACATTGTCCTGAACGCAACAGCAAACGCAAATCGTCTTTCTTGTTTAGCGCAAGAACCTCCTCATCACTATGAAGTAAGAATGACTGAAAAACCAGGAACATGAGAAGATTCTCAGGCTGAGGAAGTTTGGGTCTGGCCTTGCTGGGAGCCCACATGGGAACCCCTAGTGCGGTGTGGTGGTTAGAAAAGTGGACTAGGATTGGGTTTGAAAACCCCCCCCCACTCAAGCCAATAAAGCTCACTGAGCCTATTACCCTTCTCCCTCTGCTTAACCCTTCTCACAGGGCTATTGTGAGGTTAAAGTAGAGGAAAGGAGAACCACATATGCTGTTTTGTGTTCCCTTAAGCCAGGATATAAATGAGAGAGAGATTGGCAGATAGGCAGACAAAAGCTGCTTTGGGAGAAAACAATAGGGGTTTAAAAATCTGACATAGTGATGATTCACCTATAATAATTTTAGTCTGGCAGGGATGTCGGATCTACATAATTGGTCTGCTAACCGGTTTCCCACTGATTTATTCTTCCGTGGGCTGAAGGTTCCTGGGCAACTTTTTTGGAAATTATTTGCCTTTACCTGGATTCTTTTTCTCCTTAAACCAGGATAGGCGCTTGTAGTTCTGTGCTGGACTGAAGCTACTCCATACACACTCAAGAGAGGATGTATGAAATTGTGGAACATGCTTTGTGGAGGCAATGTGGTGTACTATATACACTTGAATTAAAAAGGCTCCTATTGAAAATGAAGGGACAAACTGTCAAGCATCAGGCAGTTTTCCCAATTTAATCAGAGGCTGGATATATGAGCTCACCAATGGTGGTTGCTCCGATAAAAAAAAATGAACATCTGGAACTCCTGAATGTCACTAAAATTAGTAAACTCAGAACATGTGTCTGTGATATATGTGATTTTTACCAGCTAATAATGTGTAGACTGAGGGAGGGAACGGGGAGGGGGGGGGATAGATCCCTTTGCCAGTGATGACAGGGTGGGAGATGGCAGGTAGGAGGGAAAAGCATGGAGTAAATCTCTATGCAGAAGAATAACTGCTGCTGTGAATGCTTTCAAATTTGCAGTGGCAATAACAGCAGATCAGAAGATCTTCCTTCAAGGAGAACAACCTGAGAGAGGCAAACAGGTCAAGGAGGGTAAAGGGGAGGTTGTGATCTGTCCAGGGTGCTGAACTCATGACCCCAACCTTGTGTATCAATGACCCAGCCTTTTTATTTGAGTCCAGTGGCATCTTTAAGACCAACCAAGTTTTATTCAAGGTATAAGTTTTCATGTGCTCTCTACCTATATGTAATGGCTGAAGAGGTCTTGTTTCACTGTATCTGAAGAACTGTTTCATGCACACGAAAGCTTATACCATGAGTAGAACTCTGTGGGTCTTAAAGGCGCCCCTGGATTTAAACTTTGTTCTGCTGCTTCAGACCAACATGGCTGCCCCACCTGAAACCAGACTTATTATGTTTGACTGGATACTATATTCCTGCTTCAACTGCCCTTCTCCTGTTGACATTGCAGAATCCCCCACACACACACCCGACCTAGTCCACCCAACCTTGGTTTCATGATATCAACCCTTGGATTCATGACATCAGAACTGGACAGATGCTGAGGATTCTGTAAAAAAAAAATCCATATCACCTGCACATTATTCCAGTTTCCAGGCTTCCCTAGGGTGAAGGAATGCTGTTAAGCTGCTTTCTATCTGTTGTGTAGATGTATGTTCAGAGTACTGCATACAAGGTAAAGGTAAAGGTTTCCCTTGCTCGAAAGCCAGTCAAATCCGACTCTAGGGTTGCAGTGCTCATCTCCGTTTCAAAGCCGAAGAGCCAGTGCTGTCCGAAGACGTTTCCGTGGTCATGTGGCCGGCATGACTAAACGCCAAGGCACACGGAACGCTGTTACCTTCCCACCGAAGTGGTCCCTATTTATCTACTTGCAATTTCTTGCTTTCGAACTGCTAGGTTGGCAGGAGCTGGAACTAGAGATGGGAGCTCACTCCATCATGCGGCACCCGGGTCTCGAACTGCTGAACTACTGACCTTCCACAGCCTGCAGTTCAGCGTCTCAACCACTTGAGCCACCGCAGCTACAAGTCCATGGTAAAACCAGGCTTAGTTCCCTATCCAGATTAAATAATGAAACATCAGACGAATGCAGTCATTTTAAATATAAATATGTGGGGCTTCTGCACAGCTGCCCATAATCAGAGAGATCTCAATTAAAAGGAATTAATAAACACAATATAAACAGATGTTGATGGTAACTTGGTCACGTTGGATTCAAAACGACAATTCAGCTGTGACACAAACATCTCTAGGTTAAATGAATGGTACTTAACCAATCATTCTACTTCCCAGTCACACATCCCCACTATTTATTGCAGCACTTACCATTACTATGTTGGCTAGGTGGGCAGATATGAGGGCATACACCCCGCCAGAGGAGCCCACGACAGGTGCAGTCATATCAGCAACAGACACTGCCAGAGAACCTTAGAGAAAGAGAGAGAAAAGACTTTGACTACAAAAACCCTGCTGATCAAATGTGCTTCCTCGTTTTTCGTGCATTCATTCTTGCAGGCTAGCCGTATTGGGAGGAGTCTTCCAGATTATCGCTTTATCGCGCGATAATTGCTCTCCTGTTACTTCATTGTTCCATGATATCTCCATGACTGTAACCATGATAGCACATTTGCTGAAAACAAGCACAGGGATTTGGATCCAGTGTGAGAACAACCGAGAAACATAAAGCACAGTTCTCCTTGCACAAGGTCTTGTGCAGCACCTAGCACTTTCCTCCCTATAAATTATAGCACCCTGAAATTGGTTGGACAAGGTCTTATTTACCGTGGTCTTTTTCTTGCATTTCTCCTTGCACAAGAGCCCTAGAGCAAGCAGGATTTTTTTTGCTGGCTCCTAGGCACTGTCCCATTGCCTCTTCCGTCTTTCCTTCTTTCACTTATTCCCCTATCACCATTACTTTCATCCTTTCTTCTGCCCTTCACAGAACCCACTGCTGTCTTACTTTCTTCACATCTCCTTTCTGAAGAAGCCCACAACTGAAAGACACTGCTAGGGTTCGTGCCTGTAGAGGAAAACCACACTCCATCTTTGTGGGAGAAGAGCTATTTTGGGCTAAATTACTGGTATTGTGATTATACTGTGCTTGTGTATTTTACTGTGACATTTCTATGAATGCTGGAAAGGTACTCTATAAAATTTAAATTAATATATATTTTTAAAATGGACACGTTTTAAAAATAAATAAAATTTGTTTTAGAGAATATGTGACTGAGGGAAATTAGGTGAAATTTCCCTGAGGTTCACTTGTCCTCCCATTTAGGCCCAATGCTAAAGTCACGCAGATAGTTCCTATGTGCCAGGACTCCATGGCAACACAAGGACAGAGTGAATGAACATCTTCCAGTCTGTGGAGGTTATGGGGGTGGAGGTTTCCCCCCCTCAAAAAAACCCATACTTTTGATGAATACCTCAGGGTTTCCTGCCTTCATAACCAGTTATGCCCAAATGGCAGAAATTCACGCCTGCCCTCAAGCTGGACTCATGTCTATATATAGGACACTGGCCTAGATTCACCAAAAAGTTCCACCGACCATTGTCATAGGCCTGCCTGCTGATGCCTCCTTGGATAAGAAGGAGATGGAGGAAGCCAGCCCTCAGATACTGCAGGAAGACCCGCCGGACAAGGAAAAGACTTTGTCAGGTGCAGAGGGAGAGTCTCAGGCTGAAGCCAGCATGCCATGCCCCGAGTCCTGCAGCCCAGGAACTGAAGCAGAAGCCCTGCTGCTACCAGCCTCACCCCCTGAGGTCGCCAGAGCCCTTGGAACACTGGAGAAGGTGGGCCCAGAATGGGGTGCAGGATTGGCATTTGGCACTGTAGCATGTGGCTGGCAGCCACCACCAGTCAACTTCTACCTGTGTGCCTGACTCCCCACAAGATCAGGGCTTGCTGCCCCTGGAGGCTGCTCAGCCAGTGATGTTGCACCTGTTCCTGGATGACTCAGCAGGGTTTTTCTGATAAAAGCAGCCAGAAAAGGGCAAACCAACATGGAAGCAACTCGTCCACAACCCTTGTGCGCCTGCTGTTGATCTGTGCCTGGCTCTAGACCTCAGTGTGTCTGACCTTCTGGACTGTGGCCTGGCTTCTGCTCTCTCTGGATGTGTCCTTCTGGTTTGACACTTGAACTATCTGTGCTTTGACCTGAGACTGTGTTTGGACTACATGTGCTGCCTCTCATCCCAGGTGCCTGCCTGAACCCAGACACAAACCTCCATCAGTAGAGCGTGACTTTCTTGCCTTCCCCTCCTCTTTTGGTAGTCCAAAATGACCCTGATAGAAGAGCCTCACAAACAGCTTGAGAGAGGAGGGAAGCTGCAAAAATCACTACCCCTTTGATCCATGTAAATCATCCACTGGCTCCAACCCACTCATTTTTACAAGCTGGTAGAGTGAAAAACATAACCTGTGACTAGAAGGACTGGAGAATGAGAGCAAAAAGTAGAAGTAGTACACGCACACTGTCCCGCTCTGGAGGTTGCGGGACGTGCAGACCGGGTGCTGGGGACCCCGACGCACCCCGCAAGACACCCTAGGCATGACTCACCAAGCAAGATGAAGGTCAACGGTCCGGGGAGGGAATCGGGAGCAGGGGCCCCTCCCTCTTCGAGCTGCGTCAGCCGAGCCCGGAGACAGGACCGGGGTCCATGAGGCAGCCCCATGGAAGAGGAGAGGGGCGGCAGCTGCTTGTCCGATGGGCCAGGAGCAGCCGCGAAGCAGTGGGTACAGTTGCAGATCGGCGGCGGCGCAGCCCAGAGGCCGCCAGAGCCACCACCGGCGCATCCGTGTTCGCTCCGGAGACACCCCACCGGCGTCCAAATAGATAAAGGAGGGCGTGGCCCAAGCCGGAGGGCAGATGGGCGGTCCTGGGAGTGGGGCGGGGAGATAAAAGGCAGGGTGGAGAAGGGGCCGGGGAGGAGGAGTGTGCTGTGGAACAAAGTGGGACGCTGACCAGCAGAGAGACGAGAGATGGCAGAGAAAGAGAAAGGAAGTCCGCAGCGTACTGGCAGAGGGACTCTCGGGGTGATGTTAACCCTGTCCCCTGCCTGTCTGAGGCCCCTCACTCCCTCTCCCTTTTTGGACCCTGCCGCTCCAAGGGCTGTCTCCCCTACCGGAGTCAGGTCGAGAACCCTGACACCACGGCCACTGGGGGCACCGCACCAGAGTCCAAGGGAGAGCTCGACACACACACACACACACACACACAATTTTCTTAGGAACTTTTCTGGTTCTGCCACTTCTGACAATTTGTCATGTATTGTATGCATGTATTGTACAATATTGTACAATACTCATGTATTGTAGGCAAATTATTAAATTTCCATTGTTTAACAATCAAAATTCCTGCAAAAATGCTGCCGTTACAATATATGTCAGCAAATATTTATTTTCTTCACTGTGTTTCCCCCTCGGAATTAAACCCCTACAAATGGTAACCATATAAACTAAGCTTGCTATTCCTGTTTGGTCCTTGAATCTGTTAAACATCTTCATTAGGCTGTATGCTTATTTTCTACTCACCCCCTACCTATATGTATGGACTTCCATTTCTCTGCATTTGAAGAATTGTACGTGCACATGAAAACGTACACCTTGAATAAAACCTTGTTGGTCTTAAAGGTGCCACTGGACTCAGTCTTGTTCAGGCACTTCTCAGTCATTATTTGAATTGCCGTAGCATCTTGTGGATGCAATCAGCATTTGAGACTTCGTAGTGCTCCTGTAAAGTGGGGGATTGGGCTTCTTTCCAAAAACTTGAAGCTGACAAGTCAGATAGGAAGCAAAGAGCAGAATATGTAGACAAACAAGCTGGCCCAATGTTAGAAAGGTGATCTGACAAGAGACAGTTGTTGTAGCCTCTCAGAGACGCATAATGTAGTTTGGAGGGCAGTGTAATTTTCCCTGGGTGGATTCAGCAAAAGCTGGATGCTTCACTCAAGTAGGAAGAAATGGTTGGTAGGCAGAGGTGGGCTATTTTCCCTCACAGAATGCTTTCGATCTAGTTTGTATCCCACCCTCCCTTCAAGGAGCTCAAAGACTGTGTCTTTATCTCTCTCCTGTCCTCCATTTTTTCTTCCTCACAACAACCCTGTGGTAGGTTAGAGGCAGAGAGAGAAGTGGCAACAGGGTTGCAGGATCTGAAGCAGGATATCTCCAGTGTTAGCTTAACATTCTAGCCATTATTACCTTGCCTATCAAAATTGCCCCCTCCGGCTGGTTTTTCCCCCCAAAGGGAGAGAAAGATATGGTGACCTGCCTCTTTTCCTTTTCGGGGGGGGGGGGGGGGAGATACAGGGCTAATTGGTCAGCTCATATAAACCAACAAGGTTACTCTTGCTTAGCAAAACGTACTTGATAAACTGATCAAAGCAAACTAAACTACTTATCAGAACTGCAGCTAAAATTGGTGATGTGCATCTAAGATAGATTTCAGACGGTGCTGCTGGGGACTGCTGCTCAGCCCCTATGCTCCCTCTAAGCTGTGGAGTCTTATGAGGAAAAATTCTACTTTGTGAGCTACTGGCCTTTTTTCTTTTGGGGGGGGGGGGGGGGGATAGCCCCCTCTTCACCAACCCTTGCACCCTCCAGCTGTTGCTTTTCATTTAAAAACAAAACAGAAGCCAGAGAAAACATACATGGAAATACAAGCAAAGTGTTTCAGCACCCAGATTAGTGAAATAAGCATGATCAATGGACTCTGTTTTGCTCCACGGAGTAGTCTAGTGCAAATCCATGAGTCTGACTGATAATCTTTGTTACATTTGTATCACGCCCTTTCTCCAGGGAGCTCAAAGAAACATTTTAGCCTCGCGGCAAACCTGTGAGATAGGTTGGCATGAGAGAGACTGACTTGCCCAACACTGTCCATTGAATCTTATGACTGAGCAGGGAACTGAACCTGAGTTTCCTACTTTCAGCCTAAATGGTCTAGTCCTACCCCCACCACTGATTCCTCACATGGTCTTTGATAAAATACACTTAGCATCCTTTTCTTCCCCTAAAGGGAGAAATATGGACTTTCTCCACTGTCAAAACGCCACAAAAAGTTTGCAAACCACCGTTTTGCAAATGTAAGCAAAAATAGTAGTAACTAGCAGCAAGGCAGGGAGCCTGCTCCTCCCCTCTCCCGAGTCTTGACGGCCACTACCTCATGGCAGTGACTGAAGTATAATCTTTGGTGCCCTCTACAGGACAAGGCAAAGAAGAGCAAGCTGGATACAGGCATCGTCCATGGTAGCTCTTCAAGAACCCCTAACAATAATGATATTCACACACTTAAATTATCTGCAATAAACAGCCAAAGTCCTTCTTCAGCAGGGGTAGTAGACCAAGTTTTGGAATGCTCCATTTAAAAAGTGGTGAGAGGAGGCCTCATTTGGAAGGGAGGTGTGCGAGGTGAGAACCCTTCACAGA